ATTTTAATAATTTATTGCAAGATTATTTCATTATCAGCGCCTTTAAATATCTAATAAATTAGTTAAATAATGGTAATTTTTAGACCTTCATTATTACTAAAATATTGATAATATATTGCTGATATTAGCATTTTATTAACATAATAATTGGCAAATATATTTATAAAGTTAAAATATAGTAATAAAATACCAATAAAGTACATATATTTGCAAAATTTTGTATTTTAATAGTACATTATCATCACTGTTAAATTGCTTATTTTTAGCAAGTTCAATTTTGACATATTTTTGTAAAGTTCTTACCAAAGAATGGTATCTATTCCAAGAATAATTGTAACTATCATAGCATTATAATTTATATTGTTATGATGTACAGGAATTAAATAAGAGAAAAAAGTAATCTATTGATAGTTTCGCACTTTCAGTGTAATAGTAATCGGTGAAGCATTTATTAATACCTTTTTCATGATAAAGTTATGATAATTAAGAAGCAAAATTGCGAACATCTAAAAATCAGCAATAGTTTTTATTACAGTTCTTTTAACAATAACATTAAATTATTGGCCTTTTTACTTTGTTAGTTATTTTTACTTAATATTTAATTTAATTTAAGCAAGCACATAGTTGTGGAATGGAGTGATTGAATGGGGTGAGGGTATCATCTTTTATATGGTTCAATACTATTATATAAAATTAGAAGATATAATATCAAGAAAATCAATGTAAAAATGTATGTAAACCATCATTAAATAATGATGTTAATTGCTCATATTCAGTAATAACAGCAGGATCAGCTTTTATATAAGCTGGATTGAATGAAGTAATATTAAGTGAATCCCATGATGGGGCATGACTAAGCGCTACATATGTCTGACCATAAGCAAACATTTGTTTATCAATAGAAACTGAAATATTAGGTATAGTTAGTCTTTGTGTTTTATATACTGTAAGTGCAAAAGCATTTTGAAGAGAAAACTGGCATCAACTTGATGATAAGCCATTTAAAAGAAAACATTTAGTTATTTTTTTTACAGTTGCTGTTATCATCTTCAGTAGTGTTGAAAATACAACATCGATATTGTCTTCATCAATTAATTTAATTATAACTTCAATAAATCCATTATGAAGACCATATTTAAATAATGCATTGTCAAGATACATAACACAAGCACCTTTTTATAAGATTAAAGTTGTAGGCAGATTTGTATATTCACGAAAATTATGATCATTATCAACTGCATCATATTCTTGATAGTTAATATAGTCAATAGCTATTGAAATGATAGGATCAGGATCATCTGGTTCTTGAGGTAAAGTTAAACATGTTAATTTATTTATATTATCAGCCATGGCACAGAAACCAACCAAGTGTGTAGTATCAACAGGAGATCTTGATGATGGTGTTTTTATTTTAGCACTAATTGATTATAAAGAGTTTGCTGATATTGTTCCATTTCAAATTTCATTTAATATCATATAAAACATGACATCTGCATTCTGTCTATAAGGTGTTATTAAAAATATAATAAAAAATTTTGACTAGATAGGAGATTGAAATTCTTGAGCACCACTTATAGGAGGTAGTTGTGCAAGGTCACCAGTTAACAGAACTTTGATTCCACCAAATGGTAAAGCATTATTGTATAAATAGGCAAAAAGATTACTAATAAATGTTAACAAATTAGCAGATACCATAGATATTTCATCAATTATGATAACCCAAGTTCTTTGAGAAATTGGCAACTTTTTTGATTATTTAGTGCTAAACTTACATGATTATCAGAAGATAGACATATTTTGAGTTGAGAATGAATTGTTTTGCCATTGATATTTTGAGCTACTATACCTGTTGGAGTCATTAACAAGTATTTTTTAGAACGCGATCAGAGATAGTTTATGATTAAAGTAATTAGATATGATTTACCAGTTCCTGCTGAACCAGTTAAAAAAAAATAGGGATGACCATTTTCATTCATATGTTTCCATACAGAAGTCAATATATTCAATGTGGTATATTGATCTGATGGTGTTTCTAATAGCAAATATCAAGTAATCATAGATGGAGAACACATCAAAGTATTAAGCTAATTACGTACAATAGTTGCAATATTTTGATGCATACAATGTATTATTCTATCTATTTGTTGCTGATAATTAATAGAAAATTTAGTAAATCTTGCTGATGTGTTTTGATTAATATTATAAATAACTTGATTGAATTAATCTGGAAATATAGAGCAAAAATGATCCTGATAATTAGAATATGAGCCTAATAACTCATCTTCACTTCTGCAGGGTAAACAAAGTAGAAGTTGTTGATAAAAAAAAATTTACCATCTTCTATTGAAAGATATTAAAATCTTACTAAAATAGATTTTTTTCTTTAAATTACAATTTTACCCTGTTAATCTACCTAGTGATTAATATTTGAATTCGGTTGACCAGATTTTTTTTGTAATTTTGATGATAATGTAGATATATAATGTTATCAAAGTGTAAATCAACAGGTCTGAAAAAATATTTGTCAATAGCATCTGCCCAGTATGAATTAGAAGCTTTATTAGTTAGTAGATGAATTAGTTTTATGCACTTTGCTTGTATATTAGGTAGTGTAGTTGGTAGAAATTCAGTAGCAATAGTAGAATAACAAATAGAATATCTTATTAAGAGTATCATCAATTTCATTGCACCAATATGTCAAGCTAAAATATGAGATCTATATATATTATGTTCATTTAGCTTAAATAGATCAGAACTTTCTGGTTTGGTAATGTATTTAGTTATATATTTAGCAAAAGACTTAGAGATGACGTATTGAAAATTATAATATTCTTGCCATAACAATAGAGTAGGTGCATAATAAGGAACAATTCACCAGTCTGCTTTTTTAGTTCGACGATAAGTATAACTAAAAAGGTAAAATTAAAATAAGTATAGTCTGACAATGGTGCTGGAAATCTTTTTCTGCATTGTTCTCCAGAAAGAGGTGAACCACCATACTTATTAGATGAACAGCGATAGATTTGATAATTATGAACTAGTTCATAAAGAACTGGTTTAGTATAGGGATCAGGAAGGTCCGCATGAATAATATTATGATTTATTAAGTTTGGAATTGATATATCAAGATAAGCTATACCATGAGTATGTATACTACTACAATTTTGAAATTGATCTCATTTAAAATGATGCAACCACTTTCCCCATTCACTTAGATTTGGATTTTTCCATAGCAAATTTCGAACTGAATTTAGTCGCTGATAATAATAAAAATAAGTATGTAAAGAATGATTAGAAGGTAAAGTGCAATAGTTATCAGCAGTGTTGTCACTCGGACAACTCGGACAGCACTCAGACAGAGTTTGTCAGAGTTTGACACTGAATAACTTTGAATAATATATTGTAACCCACCTTCAGTTATTAATTAAAGTTGTTCAGAATTATTTTTTGCATATATGTATACATTTTTAGAGTGGATTTATAAGTCTGATAAAAAGTCAGACAGTCCACTAGACACTCCAAAAGGCTCAGACATCAAAAATATACAACACTGGTTATCAGTATGTGACAGGATTTTTAATAAATGTGGTCAAAGCCCTTCAGCCATAGTTATAGTATAGAATATTTGAGGTAGGCCAAAATTTTGAACTATTGCATTTATAGAATGTTGATATTAATGAAAATATGTATCACCTGTTCAAATATAAGAAGGAAGTGTAGTTGTCAAAGTTTTATTAACAATTGGTCTATTACTATAAACACTTTGATTAATTAAGTCTGTAATTGTCAGAAGTTGCTGTTGATTCATATTTCATTGATGTAAAATATGTTGCCTATTTTGATAGTTTCGTAATTTTCTAAATTAATATAAGACCAAAATAGCCAATACTAGTGGAGACAGAATCGAGGATCTGAACAAAGTAGTCAAAGTTTAATATACTTAGCATATGTATCAATATGGCTATAATGATTAATTAAATTTTTAAAAATTTCTCTCCAATAACCATGTCCATCTAGAAAAAGATCAAGAAAAAGTATAGCTTCTAAATTGGGATCATTATATGGAATTGGCAAATTTACATTATTGAAATTCTTTATAAAACCTGCTAACAGTCTACTATAATAAAAATCTTCATTATGAACTTCAGGATCAAAATCATATAGTGGTACTACTATATCAGGATGATGTTGCAGTAATGTGTTATTAGATAATATATTTTCTTCATCAATCAACTGTGTTGTAGGGAAAGTGTTCAGAGGACATGTAAAAGTAATTGATGAAAACATCTGATCAAATTGTTTGAAAAATTGATTATTAATTTTCAACCAGTTAGCTGCATTTAGTAAAGATAGATGAAACCAGTTATTATTAGAAGAGAAATCTAAGATAGCACCTAATGTTTTAGTATAAATTTGTAAGGCACGAACATTCTTTGAAAGACCAAAGACACCAGTAAGATGGCAATAATGGGTAAAATGATTTGCATTTTTAGCATGTCCAAGAGAACAACTTAGGTGAATAGGTGAAAGCCAATAACGATAAAACATCAGAATATTCATTAGTTCATCTGGAATTGAAGCAAGTGTTGAGGCATTATGACATTTAGCAACAGATATACAAGAAGTACACACAGCGATATAGCCTTCTTTATTAGGATGGTCAGTAGGTGACAAATATAGAAAGCTCTATAAAGATCATATTCTATATTGTTATTATAAGAGATCCATCTGGCTTAAACAGAAAACATAAGAATTGAGCAATGTGAACAGGGAACACAAGGAAACATATACAAAATTTCAGTTTGAAATCGTTAATTTAGAGAAATCAAAGGAAGAGAGGGTTGCCATGGGGATAAAGAGTTTAAATCAAACAATAATTGATCTTGATTTTCTGTTAAAAAGGTAGGTGCTCACAGATGATTAGTGTTAATATTTGTACGGGTTTGGTATTCTAAAAGAACATCATTATATAAATTATAATAAGGATCATTCTCATCTAAATCAACTATAGATAGATGAGTTACTGGAAGAGACATTGTAGATGTTTTACTAAGGTTAATATTAGATTACTTTTCAATTGACTATAATCTATCAAAGGGGAAAGATGACATTTTTTGTCTTATATAGCTTTTAGAGAGATCTCAAGTTCAATGTTCCAAATATAACAAAGCAGTAATTATAAGATACATCGACTATTCTATAAGGAACAATGAAACTATTATGATTCTTTAATTAAAAGGGATTATCTAAATCTAATAATACAAAATTTTCACTTTAACTCATAAACCCGTAGATCTTTTTGTCTTTTGGTATTCTTACCTATCACCAATCTGCTGATCTTTTTGTTATTCATCATTCATTACCAACCCATAGATCAGATTGTATTTTAGTATCTGTTTGTGTGTATGATTAGTACAAAGAAATAATTGTCCTCTTTCTTTTGATCAATTCGATCAACATTATTGATTGTCAGCTAGGATTATCAGACACTTGGAAGATAGTTGATAGAAGGATCGGTAGGAATGAATACAGGAAGAGTTTCAAGGGAATATTTAGTAGCAAAGTAAAATCAGATAAGCAAGAGGTAAATAGGTGTTAATGGAAAGAATGTTGTGAACAGGAGTGATTATTCGGATTCATAGATAATTCAAATATAGTTATATAATCAATAAATTATTTTTTTTATACGTTTTTCAATAAAATGATATAAAAAATAATAGATATATTATAACAGACATCGAAACATAATGTTATTCTTAAGTGAAGAACTGGGTTATTAATTAGGCAGTAACTATGCTATAACCAGAAGTACGTCAACTTTGATGCCAATACATCACAAAAAAATAAAAGTAATTTTATGATTTCTTAATAGATCATAATATGAAATAATTTTATTACAATAGATTTTATAGGTGTATGCCTTTTTTTATTATCTCGTAAATTATACACATCATGATTTCATCAGTATTTACCTCAATTGCAAACTTACTTTAATTGTGACACAGATTTAATTAATTATAGCTTAGGAGCAATAATAACAATATTTAAAAATAAATTTAAAATTATTTACTTTACAAAAATCTGATAATTTTGATATTTGTAAATTATAAGAAAGATATAGTGCACTATTAGTACTAAGCAATCTTAATTACTTATTACAAAATTATTTCATTATCAGCGCCTTTAAATATTTAATAAATTAGTTAAATAATGGTAATTTTTAGGTATCTATTATTACTAAAATATTGATAATATATTGCTAATATTAGAATTTTATTAGTATAATAATTGACAGGTATATTTATAAAATTAAAATTTAATAATAAATTGCTAATAAAATGCTTATATTTGCAAAAATTTGTATTTTAATAGTATATTATTAGCACTGTTAAACTGCTTATTTTTAGCAAGCTCAATTTTGACAGTTTTTGTAAAGTATTAAATGAGCAAACAATATATATATAACTTGTTTACATACAATTAAATAACATAAGAGTTTCATATATATTTAAGAAATTTGACCTTCACAATTAACACAGTTTTAACCATATCCGAATACTATATTAAGTGAACAACCAAATCTAAATACTATCATTAATTGGTAAATCAAGTGTAAGCTCGTATCTGATCATCTCTTATAATAAAGTAGGGTACTATATTAAGGGGTACATGTTTTGCAAAAACACAGGAATTATTTTCTATTTCTCTTTGAAGATCTCCAAGTTCTTTTTTTTTTAGGCTCTTCAACATCTTGTTGACACAGTAATTCCAAATCATCATCATCTGCTGAGACATCTTTAGCATAGACATCTTCATCATGAGCATCATCTGTAGTGGGTTGTTTAAAACAATTCAAAGCCAAATCAGACAATTTTTTTTTACCTTTCTGAATCTGAACTGTCTTAGAGATAGTATTAATGGGAGTCACCGAAGACAAAGAAGAAGCAGCGGATTCATTAATAATAGGAGATGAGCTAGCACCTTGTTTAGAAGACCCTTGACACTAATATATGAAGCCTTTTTGGTGCTTGAGAGGTAGTAGAATCAACATCTTCAGCAATCAAATCAATATCTGAGCGATGATTTGAAGCAAGTGAGGATGTGCTTGTTTGCACATTCTGAATCACATTAACATTAGTCGACATAAAGTCAAGATCTGTGAGCTCTACTATAGTAAAATCAGAAGTTACATGCATAATGAAACTGGACAAGATAAATGTTCTGCCTATTTTAATGCTGTTATTAGCACGTAAATAAGAATATTGTGACGCATTGGTAGGATAAAATAACCTTAGTTTCATATGAACATTTCTAGAATTCGTACATGGGTTATACTGATAACATCTAGCATCAAAGTATGCAGATTCACCGTGTTCCTTAGGTTCACAGGTGACAAGTACAAGAAGCATGATGTGAAGAATGCTAAGTGGGATCTCCTTGGCCTGAAACTCATGATCAGGGTTAGTGGAAGCAATAACACAAGCATTAGAAACACCAATATGCTGTTCAAGATTCTCAACCACGAATTTGCCTGTAAACATTACCACATATTCAACATAAGGTTGATTAAAGGGATAAAATATTTTCAATGAACAATCTTAAAATCATTTTCAACCATTTGATATTTAGCGAAACCCTGTGTTAAAGAGTTAAAGTTATCTTTTATAACAATAATGACAATCACCATAGCATGCGAAGGCATATTTAACTGAATTGGTTGAATTAGACTGAAAAGATACTGAAACCCACAACTAACATTTTATGGGTATATGTACATTATTTCTACTCATAATATGTCACAGACATACACAGTAGAAGTGATGCGAAATGGTCAGAAATCGTCAGATCAACACTTCCTATTACCTATACAAGGTAGATGCACGGCACACGGTGCCACTCAAGACCAGTACGATCAGCATTAGTAAAGTTTATACATATATATGTGAGTACTCAGGTATATTCAGGACTGAGTTATAGTGACTTGAATGGGTTTTTTAAATACACTGCACTGTTATCTCAACCACGGAGCCTGCAATCTATTTAGCAAAGGTCCATGCACTATTACAGTACCATGGAACCTAAAACAAGGTTTTTGCACTGCTACCACAGCTGTGAAGCCTAACCGCCAGGTTCTCATAACGTGTTATAAAAATTTTGACAAAATTTTTCTTGCCTTGCAAATTTCACTATGTAGTTTCTTTATTTTTCATATGGGAACCCCACAGCAAAAGGGTGCAATGGGCCAAAAATTTTAAATCTGTAATTTTATAAAAATTGGAAACTGATTGTTCTAATTCTTCAAAAAATCGAGTTTAGAAAAAAAATTTTTTTTCGTTCATTGTACCCTTCTGCTGTGGGGTCCCCATACGTAAAAACAGTAAAATATGTAGTCATGACAGAATAACACGTGCATGGGCTCGAAACCCAAATTAGAGTTTGAAACCTGGGATCCGGGTTTGGAACATCAAATCCGGGTTCAAAACCTCAGATCCGGGTTAGAAACTCCGTATCTGGGTTTGAAACCCTTGCACATCAAAATGTATAAATAGGATATCTGTCTAGTAAATAAAGTAACTTTTTCTTACTTGGCTCCAATAATAAGCATAATTGTTAGCACCTAAATAATACAATCATAAGTGAACTGTCGGCCCCGTCCCCACTTACTAAGTGGTACAAAGTAATCAACTTGAACTTAAATAAAACGTATAATTAAAATTTCACGACACTTATCCTTCCTTGTTTTCGGTATTTCAGGCCGAGAAAACCTACCGTAAACAGATCAGTCTTTAAAATAACGTTAAACAGCCAATTAAATCAAACTCAAAACATGTTCCATTAAATAAGAGATCACATGATACACGAAAAAAAAATATAAATACAACCCGTGTACGATAAAAAAAATTGGGGGGCTTGATCAAATCATTCTGAACATTCATTCGTGCAAGTAGTTCAGTAGTACAGAAGTATGGAACGTATAGAACATATAATATGAGTAAAATTTTTTGACGGTGATCATTACTGTTCCAGTCAAAAAGGAAAGGTGGCGTACCACGAGTGAAGGAGTAACCAATAAATAAGACGTTTCACGGTTGATTATAGGCTTAAACGGTAATGATATTCGGCAGTTGGAAAAAAAATATTAAAGTGGGTTAATTAAATACAATGATGGTTTATAATTATCATGTGGTTTCATAAACGGTTTCATAAGTGATTCATAAACGGATTATAGCTAAGGCTAGTAATTGACCAATCGAATACAATCATACAATTCAATTTTACCAATTTTACTGATCACAATAAATAATTGGATTGAATTTTATGAAAATTATCATTTATTTACTGTAAATAAGCACCATCTCTACCCATTTTTTAAATGTCAGATTAACAGAAATAACTTGACGAAAGATCTTATTACGATTTCCGCTAATCTAACATTTAAAAAAATGGGGTAGGGATGGCGGTAATTTTAAATGTTAACGAATAGTTTGTACCCCTGATGATAATATTTTTTAAATTTGGGCCCTTATATGTAATTGTTTTCACTTTGGGCCCTTATTTTCATTTTTCAGCCTTTATATGTAAATTCCCCCAAAATTTTCTATTAGATAAGTTCGGAATTAATCTTAGGCTGATTCCAAATTCCCCTAATGCTAATTTCTCACGTACGTACGTACGTACGTACGTAGATGAATTTAAAATTCAAATTTAGTAAAATCCTATCCCGGTGTTACTATAATCACATGATTTCCTCGATTCTGCGCCACTATGCTCCACAAGTTTTGTTCTCAAACCGTTAACTGTATAACCAATATCCCCTGTCTTTCCAGGATAGATTCAAAATTCAGCAGATTGACCAAAATTTAGGGTAGGAATATGCCCGGAATTGATAAATTTCTCCCAAAATCACACAAAATTTTACTAATAAAATGGTAGCCTACGTACTAAATAAAGCTGCCAGATGATAATTTTGCTGTAGTATAGTTGACTTGTATTATTGCTTAATGCCGGCCTAGTTCCGGGCCTATTTCGACCCTAA